TGTGTGTATCCCCGCTCGTGATGTAGCGTGGGCAGGGAGGAACACACAGTCTATAACACGATCTGCTTTCGCCCTTGCTTTAGACATCTTTTTTTCTTTGCTGGAGCTTTATGCTTTTTTTGCTGAATGCTAACACAATGCTTGTGTAACTTTGGACAGACAACAATAAATGTTGCATAAAAAATAAAAACAATTAGGGCCGTATTTCATGTAACAGATGAATTCACATGATATATTTGTATGATTGTGATTTAAAGGCCATCTGTTATGCGCACTCCGATGTGTTGTTGATTATTTTTCTTTACTTAAAGGGGTCATATGATGCTGCTAAAAAGAACATTCAAGCATGTATTAACCTTTGGCCAGGGATAGTACAAATATTCAAATTGGTAAGATATACTGATGTTAACATCTCGCTGGACGAACATTCGATAAAGTGTAAACTATCAATTTTGGAATCAGTTCAATCAGGTTGATTTTGAATCTTCAGATTCGATTCTCCCTCTGAAAAGAGCTAAAATAAAAGAGTTAAATTCCTTACACCAGGCAATTGGTTCAGTCAATTCAAAGTATCGAAAATAGCTCTTTCTCCCATCACCACTTACATAACGTGCAACGGCTGACCACAAATTGTGAAGCAACATGTGCTTTTCACATTTGATGCTTCAACCAGTACACTCTGTAACATCGCTTCAAATAAATCAGATTGATTTTGTGATTCCACTTGCCATGACCATATTTGGGGTTTCCTGCTGCCATGCTGACTTGGGGGGTTGGCGCACTTTGCTGCTTCCCAGTCTGCATGAGACGTCACAGCGGTAGGTCGCAGAAGTTTTGCAGTGATTCAATTAGGGCCGTATTTCATGTAACAGATGAATTCACATGATATATTTGTATGACACTCTGTAACATCGCTTCAAATAAATCAGATTTTTTTCAATATGCTTATCATAGAAAGACCACTAATCTCAACAACACTCCTAAAACAAATCATATCAATACCACTCAGATTATACTCTTTTCTTCAATATCGCCAGAAGCAATATGAACGCTCATCAACTACAGGTTGTGACTAAAATCACAGTTCTGCCCTTGTTTCACTCTCAGAAAGGAGCATTACAGCTCATCATTGTGGGTTGGAAGACAAACACTTTCAAAACACATTTCCAAACAAAAAAAACTATAGAAATAATCTCTGAAAATACAGTCTTAACTTAATAAATCATCTCAAATGGAATTCTATTCTGAAGTGCCCCTCCTCTCAGATGGTTTCCGTAGTAGATTTCTATGGGCTTTAACATTCGTGCAATGCTTTTTTTGCGCAGGTGTGTTAGAACGAGCCGTTTTAGGTAGGTGTGGCTGACTCTGAACTTTTATAAAGAATATCTCTTTGGATTTGAGACTTTAGTCTTTGCAACTTTACAGATCTTCTTTATGCACCAAGAGCTTGTAACACTCCAAAGAGAAAGGAAAAATTGAAATCGCATCATATGACCCCTTTAATTTTTTTTTAATATCTGTAAATTTCTCTCTTTCTCAGCGTCGTGCATTGCTGCCACACGCTGGTTTATATGCTGCACAAGTCCTCATATATTTCCGTTTGTGTTATCCAGAATAAATGAGGACCTGATGGCAAGAGTTTTCGCAGTCTGTCTTTCGTTTCGACACAATGCAGAAAACACACCGCTACAACTGGTGCCGCGACTGTTGCTTCACTCTTCGTGGGACCGCTGCTACACGCGAGTGGAGGCGTGACCGGGGGATAGGCCAACGAGTGCACCGCTGCAACGTGACTGAGTAGATGAGAGGTTCGCCATGTGAACATATAAACTGTGAACTGGATACCTGATTTGTGAAAACTTCTGAAGTATTTAGTGGACTGAAATATCTTGATTCTTGAATTGAATTAATTCTTCAAAGGATTTTAAATACTATTTTGGGTTATTTTAGAGTGTTGACCGCTGGAATTCTAAATTATATTGTTGATTTTTATTTTATAGATTTTTTTTTATTATTGTAAAAGAAGGGGAAAAAAAAGTCAATTACAAGAAGTATTGTGATTTGAATAGCTGATTCTGATATGGAGGGTTCTAATAGTCAGAACAGTATGGGAAGAGGGAGAGGGGTACTAAGGTTTGCTCATACACATCAGATTGGTGGGGCTGATAAAATAGGTCCACTTTTCTCAACCCCTATTCACACAAGAAGTGTTGATGTGCAGACACCTATTGTATCTCAGTCTTGTGCTGTTTCTGATGATTCTGTGCAATTATCTGATTTGAATGCTGTACCAGTGAACCTGATTAATGACATAGTGAAACAGAACAACAGACAGCAGAATGGAGTTATTAGAGATTAAGGATGTCTACGAAGTATATGTATGCAATGAATATAATGTTAAACATTCAGTATTAACACCTGTATACCTGGTGTGCGCGAGCTGATAAACAAAGCGCGCTGAGTGGATTGAGCACGCGGCGGCGCAGATGCGCGAGCTTGTCGAGTGAATATACCTTTCTCACAGACATCACTGGAAAGTTTGTAGTTCGGTCGGATACGTCAAAAACAAGTAAGTAAAACAATGCACAAGTTACTTAATGGTAGGGAGAGAGAGAGAGAGAGAGAGCGAGTGCGTGCGTGCGCACTTCTGTTGTTTGATCTTTGATGTTCACAAAATAAAAGTATCGGTATCGAGCGAGTACTGGAAAAAGTGGTATAGGTGCATCCCTAGTTTTCACTATATGTCGGATATTAGTATCTGCTGCAGAGTCCCCTTAAAATTCATTAATAATTTCCTTTGAGCTAATTTGACCCGTTTCCCCTACAATTTTGTCCTTTGTGTGCTTGTTTTATGTGAAAATCTATCCTTTGTGGCCTCAAGCCACATGGCAAAAACCTGTTTGTTGAGTGAAAGAGTCAATGGTTGTTCACACCTCTCAGGACTGAGGGACTGGGGCGAACAATGGGGGAAATGGTGATGAGATCACTGGTGACAGGTCTCTGCTCAATGACCCCCTGATCTCCACAAGAGGTAGTGTTGTTTTAAATGATCCAGTTAAAATTAATCTTTCCACACACTGTGTGCAAAGGGGTTGACATCTTGCCTGCTGTCCACTACACTGGGTAACTGATAGCACTACAATTTATAAAACATTACAGCCTACAGTACATTATACACTACAATATGCATAGCAGTACAATATACTGGATTATATAAAGTGAGAGTATTTCTTTTAATCAGGTGTGTGTGTGTGTGATGTCTCTGTTGCTGCTCACAGGCTTTTCAGTCTGACACAGAGACACTGAGGAGTTCAGGAACACCAACACAAATCCGGCATAGAGAGGCTCAGTGAATGTGGTGTTGAATGTGTGTAAGTGTGTGAGTTTGTGTGTGTCAGAGATGCTGTAGAAGGACAGAGTGCCGGCCGATACATCCACATACACTCCTATTCTATTAGAGAAGAGTGACGGGACACTTAGGTGTGTGATGTTATCATTGTGATGGACGGTGAAGCTGTAATTAGAGCAGATCAGACTCCAGGATTTTTTATTGTATCCAAGCACACAGTCATGTCTTCCTCCTTTCCTGCTGATTCCTTTATATGTCACTGATATAGCAGTATCTCCACTCAATTCAGCCTCCCAGTAACAGCGTCCAGAGAGACTCTCTCTACACAGAATCTGAGGACACACATCAAATCTCTCTGGATGATCAGGATATGGCTGATCCTCATTCACCCACATCACCTTTCTGTTCTCCTCTGAAAGAATGAGACGAGTATTTGTTGTGTTTGGATCCAGTGTGAGATCACAGGCATCTGAACAGAGAATAGAGAACATTTACACAAGAATACTAAAGATTTGTGTGTGTGTGTGTGTGTGTGTCTGTGTAGACGTACATTTGTGTAGTCCTGCTGTAATCCTGAACTCTCCTCCATGATCCACACTATAAAACACACACAGTGTCTCATTCTGCACATCTGATGCAATCAGTAACACACACACACACACACATTGCAATAAGTGCATAGGTACATTACAATAGGAGCAATAGGTATTTTCATAATGGATATTCGATACTGTCCTCCTCCAAAAGCACCTTATTACGACCTATATTTACATTTTAAAGTTAAGTGCCCTCTGGCTGGCGTTAAAATAATGATAGTGTCGGGTTACATCTGTCGTCATGAAATGACGTATGACCGCCATTACCAATCAAAATGCCTGTTCATTTAATTGCAGTGTGTGGACTTTTTACACGGTCCCTTATCTGCCATTTGTCCTATTTCTATTTAGCAAAACTCATTTATTTATGCATTTGGCAGATGCATTGGAAAGGTGGGATCGAACCCACAATCGCATGATCACATGATTGCATATTACAACGCAATGCTCTAATAATGAGCTACACGAAATTATGATGCAGATAAAAGGGTACAATGCATTAAAATGAAAGTGTCCTGTTGATGATAGGGGCGCAACTCTAGTAAACGCTCCTATGGGTCGTATTTCAGGGAAGTGACAAACAACCTATTCAGGCGTATTGGTTGGAGGACATGTTGGATATTCTCTCCCCCTATGCTAACCCTACATTTAAGGGTGCTTTCACACCTGGCTCATTGTTTCGGAACCTGGCGCATTTCCCCCCTTAGCTCGGTTTGTTTGGGCATATGTGAACACGGCAATCGTGCTCGGATCCACGCCAAACCAAGTGGTCCGAGATCGCCTGAACAAGGTGGTCTCGGCTCGATTGAAAACGAACTCTGGAGCGGTTCGGTTGTAGTGAGAAAGCAATCTGATCTAACAGAGCAACGAACCAGGCTAAATCACAATGTATAATGGGTAATTACGTAAGTTCTGTGAAAAAACATTAGCTTTGTTGTCTTGCTAATACCTCAAAATGAACCTGTGAATGTCTGTGGGTGAGCACATCTTCGCCATTCAAAATAAAAAAGCGCACTTTTTCATTTTATAATGCCATCTTATTGCTCTTCTTCCTAGTAGGTGCATTTTAAAAATGTTTTCCCGATGAATCCTGGACTCCTGCTCAAAACGATAAATTAATATAAGGACAGCTACAAAAAAAAAAAGCTGTTGTTGTTGCATCCTGACGGATGACATGCGTGACAGCTAGTGGAATCCCGGAAAATAAACCGTGGAACTTTGACCAATGAGACGACACTTTACTCGCGCGTGACTTGTATTAACAAATTTGTTCCGTTTAGAAACTTTGCCGTGTGAAAGCGAACCGCACCAAGAATAAAAAGCAACATTGTAATAATTTTAATCCCTGTTTCGGAACAAAGCAATCCATTTACAGGTGTGAAAGCACCCTAAGCCTACCCATCACACAAAAATTCATGCATTTTTACATTTTCAAAAAACATCATTCTGTATGATTTAAAAACTTGTTTCATCATGGGGCCCAAAAAATGTGCCCACAACCCTTACAAAAAATTAATGTTTTCATTATAGTAAAATAGTATATTCTATTCCCCTACACTAACCCTACCCCTAAAACTGTATATAAATATAAAAATTTATATATGAAAAAATTATATAAACATGTTAAAACACCAGGGGCCTCATGTATAAAACTTTACGTAGATTTCATCCTAAATGTGTGCGTACGCACAAAAGCTAGATTTTGCATATGTACAAAAGTTTTCAGATTTATAAAGTCATGCGTACGCCAGAACCTCTTTTAAATATGGTGTTTGTCACAATATTGGGAAGAGCACGAAAGGGTTTATCATTAGGCTGCTGTCTGTGCGCGACACCAGTTAACAGAGGTTCTACTGTCATCAGACCAATGGACTGTTTGACCAACAAGTGCATCCTTATGTCTGTCGTTACAGTTCCAAAGCATCAGACGAATCAAGTTCACATCAGTGATCATTATTCGCGCAAAAGCATTTTCTCAGAACATGGGTTTTGCTATTTAGAACACAATTTAAAGCGGAATTGTCATGCGCCAAGCAATCATCGCTGTGATTAAAACATTAAATCACATACCACAGGGAAATTGTTCGAAAGCAGCACATCCACTGCAAATATTTATATTTAAAAAAAATTTAATTTCTGGATAATCATTTCATGAAATTTCAGTGTTTAACTGCATTATTGAGAGTGTCATATTTAATCTAAATATGTATGTCAAATGTAAAACAGACTTTAAAATAATTGTTTGCTTCATTATTTCGCTCACTCCAGTAAAAGAATGCGCACGCATGGTCTAGAGTGTCCATACGCACCTAGTTTATTTTTTATAAATCCCGATATGTGCGTGGAAAATTGCGTACGCACAAAATGGGCATGGAAATGTGCGTACGCAATTTTCCACGCACATATCGGGATTTATAAAAACATTTATACATCAGGCCCCTGAATCCTAATGGAATATGACCCAAACCACAGTACAAGACTCTGCCAGGTCTGTATAACAAAACCAGCCCAAACGCAAATCAAAAATAGCCCAAAACAAGGCCAATGACCCTATCCAAATATCAAAACTCAACATATCACGTAACTTGACAGCCAGCTGCAATAACCCACAGCAAAACCCGTCTCCATACTGGCATGATGAGTCCAGTCTTCGACCAGATGGAACTGGATTAAATATTTGGGCTGCACTCGTTGTTGGCCAGAGGAGAACTGGCCCTCTGACTGAGCCTGGTTTCAGTACATTCTACTGAACAATAGTAATATATTTCTGCCGCAATGCCTTCAAGTTAAACCAAACTTATATTTTGACGGGTTGCCGTGAATACCTTTACATTTCTGTGTGTATATGATATGAGGATAGTTTTACTCAAATGAAACGGTCAAATTCTCATGAAGTGACTCTCCGAACAGTTCTGGAGATGTTGTTCATGTATTTATGTCCTCATTAGTGAGACGGCAGATGCTAAAATCACCGCAAGCATCACGTGCGCTTCAGTAGGAGTGGTAAACCAAACCGCACGTCTGCGCCATTTATTAACACCAAGACACACAGAATTCATATTTAAATAGTCGTATTGCGGCTTAATATTTACAAATACTAGTGGGAGTGTGCTCACTTGTGTGTGCGCGCACGTGTGTGTGTGTGTGTGTGTGTGTGTGCGCGCATCGGGGCGGAACTCGCCCTGAATTTGCATTCAATTTCATAAAAAAAATTAAAACTGAACAGGTTCTGGTCTTGTTAGATTATTGATGGTCATTCATTCATTCATGTGAATGAGTTCATTCATTCATTCACTCACAGATACAAAATTACATTTTAAATACAATGTTTATTAACCTCTAAGCGCCAAAGTCGCAAAATTGCGACAAGACGTCATACTTAATAAAATAGACTGTAGTTCCTAATATGGTGTAATATCTAATTTGTATTCCCTACCACTAGATGGCAGACATGTAGTACTTCGATTCTAGACCAAAATTACGTCACGTTCCTATTCAAAGTGTTCGAGGAAATAGCAGAGCAAGTGAGCTATTGTGTCATTGATGCGGAAGTAGTTCAGTTCGTAGCGTGCGAGTAAATTGTGAGATTTGTGAGAGAAAATTGCCAAATGGCTAATAAAAAGTTGTACCGTGAGGATGTGTTGCAAATGTTATTCGCCGATTCTGACTCTGAAGGGGAATATTTGCCTTTTGGAAATGATGATCGGTCGTCTAATAATCGCGCTTCTCCCGATACATCTTTGCAGCGCAATGGTGCCGCCATGCAAGGCGAGAGTGTTCACGAAGCACAAACAAGTGATCATTTCTGGATCATTGTTACGTCATACGTCGCGTCGCAGTTTGAACTGCGAGAGGCGTTACGCATTCTTCGTAAGTCGCAGTCCACCGGAAGTTGGATGTTTAGCCAGGATAAATTTAAAAATAACTCTGATTGTGTTCGTCTGAAAGAAGAAAGTCATATACACCTAGGATGGTAATTTAAATTTTTGGGTGAACTATCCCTTTAATGCGACAGACGGCCTATATATTAAGACTGACTGTAATGCACAGATCTAATATAATGTTAGACATCAGATGTTTCTGATGTTTCAAAACACAAAACTAAAGACAAATCAGTCAGGAAGATTAAGGAGAGAACAATTGTCTTTGGCCACCACCTGCAAACTCATTTCCTTTTTGGGGGCTGTTGCCTCTCCAGTGCACCCATTGTCACTTTCAGTTGCACCAAAGCAGGTGAAACTGATTCACACTTATGCTTCCAGGAAAGATTGATATTCCTGAAGTTTAAATGACTTGGTGTTATACTGTGATGATTAAGTGTTTCCTTAAATATTTGAGGAGTGTAGTTTGCCAGACTCTCACAAATGTATTTTTTTTTTACCATTTATAACCACACCTTGTGATCAAAAATCACTACATCACTGGTGAATTGAGTAAAAATCACTATAATGCCAAAGAGGAATGATACCAGCAATGATCTTAGAGAAGCAACTGTTGCCGCCATCCAGTCTGGGAAGGGTAATATGGTAAAATTATTCACAAGTGGAAAACAAAGTATTTTTATGTTTGTTTGTTTTTTGAGAGAAGTCCCTTATGCACACCAAGTCTGCTTTTTAAAAATAAATAAAAACAGCAAAAAAACTGTAATATTGTGAAATACTATTACAAATGAAAAGAAAAGTTCCCTTTCATGGGAACTTCGAACTGCGTCCTCTAGGGGTCGCTATGGGGAACGCCTCGTCGTGACCCATGTCTGAAGCATACATTGAAAAAACACCAACTCGTTGGCCAGCGACAGCCATGACGTCACTACCGGTGCGACTATAGTATAAATAGGCGCCGGGAGCACTCATCATTCTCTTCTTCGTCTTCATTGACTGTTCTGTTTGAATTTCCAAGGAAAATACACGGGTCACGACGAGGCGTTCCCCATAGCGACCCCTAGAGGACGTAGTGTCTCGTTCCCTACTCAGGGAACCATGGTTACATAAGTAACCTGAGACGTTTCCTATTATAATGTAAGACCCTTGTAGTGAAAATGTTTTTAATGTTGTTTATATGTCTATGTGGTGTTTTTAATAAGCTTTAAAGCATGCAAATTTATCAGTCAACGCCATTG